ATGCTGAATCAACGAACGCTATTTGAACTCACAGTCGCCTTCCAGTGGCTTGTTCACCGTCAAACTGGAGTGTCTGATGAGGGCATAAGCACGGCTTTTTTGTTATCTAACCAAGTGGGCAGCTTCAAAGCTGCTATAAGCGCAGCAAAGGACTGAAGGGCACAAATTGTCGTTTGGAAGATTCGTTTGAACGGCATGATCATAAATCAGTCGTCTAATCTTTGATATAGACACGATTACATGCCATTGAAGTACAGGCTTGGTTTCCATTTCTAGCATGATGAACGAATTCTGTAACGTGTTCCCGTCAGAGGATGATGTTTACTGTAGCTGAGGTGCAGGATTTAAATTAAGGTTTATGTAATAATCACAATTATTGGCCTTCTTCAACCCACTGCTGAAAGAAAGCCTCTCCAAGATTTGCAAAAGATGTCTGATTTATGTGATTTTTATCCATGTTAATCCAGTGAATATCTTCATTGTCTGGCTGTCCATCGATCTGTGGATCGATTGTTTCTCTCTCTCATGGGACCCAGTCTAATGTCTCTTTCCTCCAGCAACGATCGTTTTTTTTGTAACGCCTCCTGCCCATTTCCATTTCAGCGTTTTGACTCGTGAAATGAAATCGCAGACTCCTGTTTGTGTTCTTACCCATTCGGTCTCGTATTGCTATTTTTATTGTCATTTGCAATAAACACATCCATGATGTGTTGCGTAGTTTGCAGTTTCTGAATAGCATTCAGGTTCAGGGGCAACCTTTCGTACTGGTAGCACAAACTGGTGGAAAATTTTCTGTTTTATGCGCACAGACAGTTTGTCGACAGAAACATTTTACATCTTTCAAAAATGCTCCATGCAATTTTTACTATTCTGCTGATTTTGAAGAGATGCACTGCCTCAGAAAAAATTTACAAATATGTTTTTTTTTAAATATTTATTAATTAAACGGTACGAATACCTGACCGCTGTCCTCCAATTCGAATAAGGTCAGTAGCGAATACACGGTTCATTCCACGGGATG